GGCAGGCAGGCAGGGAAGATCCAACGGTCCCACGGAGGCTTTACGGAGAGGGCCTGCTGTGCGCAAGACACAGTGCTGGGCAGCCAGGGAGAGACAAAGCAGGGGACACAGGACCCACGAGACGCTCGCTGGCCATTCCAGGCAGTAAATGCTGTGTGTCTGATACTGATGTTGACGACCAAACCCAGCTCGTGCTGTCTCGGGGCCTCCCTCCCTCTTCTTTCTTTAATTTTTGTGTTATTGTGGAAAAATATACATAACATAAAATTGACCATTTTGACATTTTTAAATGCACCGTGCAGTGGCACTGGGAACAGTCACGTGGCTATGCAGCCATCACCACCCCCACCTCCAGATGCTCGCATCTTCCCAAAGGGAACCTCCACCCGTTAAACACTGACTCCCCACTGCCCCTCTCCCCTGGTCCCTGGGCCCCACTGCTCTACTTTGTCTCTGTGCATGTGACCACTCTAGACCCCTTCTATAAGGGGCATTGTACAGTATTTGTCTTTTTTGTGACTGGCTTATTTCACTTCACATAATATCCTCAAGGTTCCTTCCGGTTGCAGCATACGACTGAATTTCCACCCTTTTTAAGGCTGAATGACATCCCGTTTTGCGGACATACCATTTCATTATCCACTCGTCCATCAACAGACAGCTGGGTTGCTTCGACCTTGTGGCTACTGTGAACAATGCTGTTGTGAACATGGGTGTACAAATATCTCTGAGACCCTGCTCTTAATCCTTTTGGGGGTACAGAAGGGGAATTACTGGATCCCAAGTTCTACGTTTAACTTTTTGAGGACCTACCGCACTGTTTTCCACAGCGGCTGCATCATATTACATTCTACATCCATCTCGCGGTCTTTCCGTACCTGCTACCCCAAAGGGTCTTCGGAGTCCACAGGTGTGCTTTTTGCCTTCCTTGAGCTCCATGTGGCCGACCCGGACAATTTGGCACACGAGGCTGATGCGAGGCCGGATGAGGTCTGTGCTGCTGAGGTCCTAACGGGGCAGAGAGCACAGGGAGGGGGTCACACCGCGTCACCCTGCCACCTGCACTTTTCACTTCTTTTCTCTCTCCACTCTGTAACACAACACCCTTCAGAGCACACTTCCTCCTGCTGAAATATCAGGACGACTCCTCTCTTCCTCGACCCACCCAAGATTATCGATTCAAGGCATCAGAGGAAAATGACTGGATTCAAAAAAGGAATTAAAAAAGAATTCCTCAGCTCTTACTTCAAATTTATAAATCAGATCGTGTTCAATCTCACGTCTCTGGTTCACGCAGGGTACTTAAAAATCGAGTTGTTGCTACTTTCCACCCTGCCAGGGCGCATCTGAGCAACCAACGCCTTTCAGTGTCAAATGAAATTAAAACTTCCGAGACACTGACGTTTACTAGGTATCCACACATGCTGGTGATGTTTCATTTCATCTTCCAAATAATCCTGTGGGGCAACTACAACCCAGAAATTCACATGCACTGCTTTCTGTAATTATTTTCCTATTTTATGAGAGGTATCCACCGAGAGCTTCTGGGTGTGTGCTGATTCATGAGAACCGTGTCGATGAAATGTCTGTCTTTTTGTGGCTTCTGTTCTATGCTTCTTTATAGTCTCAAAACCGGGTGAGTAAACCCACAAATGAGCTCACATGTCTCACTCACGTGAACAGCAGCAGCAATGATGGAATTGCACCTCAAATTCTTTCCATGAAACAGCTGTCCAGGGGCCTCTTTACTGAACCAAGACTTAAACTTTTTAAGTTAATCACTCCAAATTCATCCTCTGTAATCTAGTTAACTCAGGCCTCCAAGACAGGAATGTGTACCAATGGTAACTTCGGCCTTGAACTTCTACTCCAGGTTTTGTGAGGCTACCATTAACAAAAAAAAGGACTCCAGGTGACAGGTTACATGAATTGTGGCACACTGATAATATTTAATAACAGATAATCATATAAAACGAAGTTTTTGTAGAACATTTAATGACCAAGGAATTAGCCACATTTTATGTCATTGAAAAAGTTGGACATGGAATTTGCATACAGGAAGGGCCTAACTGACAGGGGGAGTCGGGTAGGGGGATGAACTGCAGCTCTTCTAAAACGGTGTTGGTTCGAAGATGGACCACAGAGTCAGTAACACGTTCTCAAATGTGTTTTTGTCAGTGTAGACATTGACTGATAAATGCCTTCTGAGCTTAGGGAAAAAACCTCTGCAGATCTTAGAAGTGAGGAGATACTCTGCGTGTTGGGGAGAGGTTTTGGAAAGAGGTCTAGGTCTTCCTTGTCAATGTTTACTAGGTGGTGAAGATGTGAGTGGGTCAGCGCAGGGACAGTAATCAGACCATGCTTATCCAGGGGTGGGAGGTGTAGAGAAGAAATGAATAATAATAAGGAGAAATGAATGAATGAGCCAGTGCTGGGGCCACTGCTCCTTCCTATCACTTCCTTTGCTGCTTTACCGCAGACCCTGCTTTCCTTGCTGTGAGGGCGGGAGGAGAATAAGGAGATAAAATATGGGCGTGGCTTAAGGGAAAAGGGAGAAAAGGAAGCCGGTATCTCCTTCAGGCCTGATGGGAACTGGGACACCTGCCCATCAAAGCTGCTCAGAGCAGGTGACAGCAGCTCCAGGGCATGTCAAGCACTGATGTCATAAAAGTGAGAGAGCCCCCAAAAACGTTCCGCCCATGAGAGTCCCCAGTCTCCAACCTATAGCCCAGCAGTCTTCCTTGCCCTTGACCCACATACAGCAGCACCCCTCCAACCCTGGGGACGTGGAGGAAGAGAGGACAAAGTCCATTAGAACATAAAGCAACAGGGAAGTCTAGTCCAGTCTTTGCTGGGACTGTCCGCTCGCTCTGGAATGCTCCCCGCCTTGTCTGCACCGCTCGCCCCTTTGCCAACTGGAAGTTCTTGCACAAAAGCCCCTCCTCCCCGAGGTCCGCCCTGACGCACCTATTTCAGACGGCAGCCCTTCCCCAGCCCGGAAACTCCCTCCCAGGCCCCCCAGGGCACTCGTAACTTCTCCCATTGCACAGAAAGTGCTCGTTTGTTCAATTATTGTTTACTCCTGTCTTCCCCGTTAGGATGAAAAGCTCTTCGAGAAGTGGGACTTCTTTTTTTTTTTTAAGAGGGACATTTTTTCTGATGTATCTCAAGCCCCTAGATCAGAGCCTGGCATCTAACAGGTGCCACTAAATCTTTGTTGCATAAATGAGCGAGTTACTCCTGCTGGAGGGATGATGACGAATATTGTTTTCATGTTTTCTTTTTTTTTAAGTTTTCCATATGGTTTACCACATGCACCCGCCAACACCATAAACAAAGGGAAGTGTTAAACGCAGGAAGGACTCACAGTGAAGACGGCTTGAAGGTTATTGAGTTTCTCTATTTCCTTGGGCATCCCGTTGCTGCCCCAGCGAATCAGGTAGTTCTCACTGGTGAAGAGGACAAAAAAAACTCTCAGTGAGGACCTAACGGGGGTGGAAACTACTCTCAGTGCAGACTTAATGGGGTCAAAAGGCGACCCCGAGAAGCTCAGTGAAATTCACCAGGCAGAACTGAGACCACGCCAAGGACCAACCTCGGGTCTCCTGGCTGTGGCCCAACCTCCATGAGGGACACCCAGAGGGTCCCCACTACCTGATGAACGTGGACTGGTCCGGGTCATAGAGGGCCATGAACAACTCTGCGTCTTCCCCAATGTTGCAGACAAAGTTCTTAAAGTTCACATAGAGGCCGTAGGTGTGGACAGCACTGAAGATGGACTGACCCCGCAAGTCCAGATTCTGCAGAATTGACTGAACACAGCAAGAGAGAGAAAAGCATCTTGGTTTCAGCAAATGGGAAAAAACTGGCAAAGACACTGGCCTGTACATGGAGGACAAATGTAATCACCACCCACGAGGAGAGGCGCTTACTGAAAACAAAACGTGTGTAAGCAGACAAGGGACCGAGCGAGCCCCAGTAACTCAACACATTGCTGTTTAAAGAGCAAGTATCTGGACATTATGATAATTCATGGTTTCAGCGTCTTCAAGAAGTTCTCATGTCTCACAATGGCTTCGGGATAAGCCTCAAAAGCGTAAAAATTATGGCCCATTATCCTTCTTTTCGGGCACAATTCTCAGTGCAAATAAGAGATTCCACTGGAAAGGTCCACCCTCAGGCATGGTTAGCCGTTGGAGTCAAAGACATAATTAAATATTATTACAACTGCGCTAAAGAAATAAAACCTATCAACTAAAGAAAATAACAGAAACCTTTACTCATCGGAACAGAAGGACTGGAAAAAGATAAACCAAATCATCGTTGGGTTGGGCAGCCACATCGGTGATTTTTTTTTTTCTTTTTCTGTACCTTTCTAAGTTTTATTTACTGGCCAATTGATACTTTCAAAATCTTTCACTTTATTTTATTAATATTATTTTGGGAATCATAATCTATGTACTAAATATAGACGTTTACACGGTACAAAGGCTTTCCTCCCACCCAGCTCTCTTCCCAGAGGCATCCATTAATTATCAATTTCTTGTCCATCACTCCAGAGCAATCTGCAAGCAGGCAAGCACACGTCTGTCTATTCGTTTTAAGAGACACAAATAACACTATTTAATACACACCATTCTGCATCTTGCTCTTTTCCCCGTAACTTTGCAACCTTTGCCATCTTTCCAGGTCAGAACATACAAAGCTGCCTCACTCTTTCTGCCATATTTTGCTTCTAAAACCAAGAGAGGGATGTTTTTCTAAACAACATTTCCATCTCTGTTGTCAACGACTCCCTTTCCCTCATTAAAAACAAACGCAAAAATGGAACCTCCATGGCCAGAGCCTGCACGTGCGAGGAAGTGTACCTTCTCTTCCTGGATCTTCTCCTCAATCCTTCTCGAGGCCACTTCATGGGCCTTGAAGAGAGCGACGGTGCTGGTCTCATCAGGGTCCAAGATGTTCCCGTTGTCGTCCCGCACGACCAGATCCAAGCCCAGCATCCTAGAAGGAGAGGAGTGGTCAGCTGGGTCTCCTCACCAGGAGCAGACCCTTTCCTGAAGAGTCTGCAGAGAAGAACCGGGAGGATTCCGGTGAAAGGTTGGGTGCTGCACAAGCCAAGATGAGAAGAGCCCCCTGACTTTTCTCCTTTCAATTTCTGCCTCCTTTCTACACAACAATGATGCTCAAAAACTTAATGGTACCCAAACTCATATAATGACGTGCAAAGTAATTTGGTCCACAGAACCTCAACAGAAAAGGCAAAATTGGCACTGCCTCCAACCAAAATCCTCTGACCGACGCTTCTTCCCCACCAGCATGTGTAGTTTGGCGTGGGAACTATGAACAAAGAATGCACAGATACTGGTGAGGGGATTTGCCTTGATTTTCTTAAAAGCACAGTCCTTAATTCAAGACCATCTTAAAGAAGATCCAAGAAGTAAGTCCTGGCTGCTGGTGTCACAAAACCCATCTCAGAGCCTGGGCTCTGGTGTCAGCTGGACCAAGAGTCACATCTTGGCTTGAATACTTGCTAGCAAGGTGACTTCAGATAATCTACTTCATTTTGCCAGGCCCCGG